GAATTAGAAATAAAAGGCATTTATTTGAAATAGAAATATAACAACATAAAGTATGTCTCAACTATTAAATATACCATTGAGATGTTCATTTGTCCTCGTCTCGTAAATATGATCATTCCGGCATCATTTGAAGGCTGTATAAGACCTCAGATGGTAGAGGTGGGAAATTAAAATTGAACACACTCATAAAAGAGGACGCTGTACCTGAAATGGAAGATTAGAGTGAGACTGAAATATAAGGAACAGAGGAAGGAGATTGAAAGATTTTGGCAGGGAGGAAGGTTGTCGTGCCAAATGTATCATTTATTTTATCCTCCATCCTTCCGTCTAAGTTCTGCGCCACTTCTCCACCACTTAAGGCATTGATTCTGTTCCCTTCCCAAATTTATAGCCTGATGCTGTACTCTGCATATTCAGACGTCATATTGATGTGAAGCTGCAGAATCATCACACCCGGATCGAAGCTAAGAGAGACAACAAAATGGAGCATTGCCGCTTGTTGCCAGATCTCTAGACCAGTGTTAAAATGAGCTTGTTTCCCGCAACTGGAAGGTGATGTCATGTTTGAGTGGTGTCTGTGGTTTCAGTTCGTCTGTCGTGTTGGTTTCTGTGATTGTGTCCTGAGAGGTTTTATTTGTAATGTCCTGTGTTTGTTGTCTGGAGTGCGTGTTTTGAAGTCTGTTTTTAGGTTCATGTTTTGTATGGTGGTTTGTATTGTTGGCTGTCTATGGTGTGTATGTTTATCTTTTCTGATTTTTTGCTTTGCCCAAAGACACTCCTTTTTTTGTGGACAAATGTGCAAATCTTTATGTCTGTATCCATGGGATTTCTGGGAAATTCTGGGAAATACAACCTCTACACAGACACCCGATATGAGATCCAGTTCGATATAAAAGATTTTAGTGAGGGCTTTAACATTAAAACATTTTTTTGTGCAAAGTAGTTCTATGATATGAAAGAACTTTGAAAGAACAAGTTAGCGTTAATATAAAATAGTTGTGTTTCATAAACAAATCTGTGTTTTTTGGAATTTTTAAAGTGATTAAATCATGAATCATTTTCATGCAAGTGAATAAAATGAAATGAAAAGAATAAATGATGATACACAAATAAAATGATATAATTTTAACTTATAATTTCTATACAAGTAGGCTATTATGGTTGTCTTTTTTTCTGAAGATAAATGTCATGCCCAGCAGTAGACAAGATTTTAAAAAAAAATGTAGTGCTGCTTTTTTATTTTTAAATTATTCTAAAACTCGCTGTGGTCAAGAATTTTGGTCACTTTTAACTAACTGGTTCGATGAATGATTCAGTGACTCACTAATAATGATTCAAAAGATTTGAGTCTCTGGGATGAATCAAAAGCTGACTTTCTAAACCTATGTGCTCATAAAGAAAAAGCACACAAGTCTGCATAAAAAGGGGTTATATGCCTCATTGAAACCATGGAACACTTGATGTCTAATTAGCCATCCGATTTGGAGGTGAACCAATATTGATTACATATATGTTGATATATTTTGAAGTGAACCACTATTGACTATGTTCATTTTGTAGGACCAGCATACATTCATCATTTCTAAATGAGTGGCAAGGGACTGCTGATGTCAACAGAGAACACACAATATTCAATAGAAATACAGCTGATGGAAACAGAAAGGTACAGAACATACATTTTTTATTGTTTCGTCAATAGCTTAAATTAAAAAAAATTTAAGTCAGTTGATAAGAGTTCATGATAAAAATAGTTTTTAACAATAGTTGCATTAAGCATCATGAACTAACAATAAAAACACATTTTTTAATATATATTTATATAACATATTTTATATATAATATTTTTAAAAATACACTTCATAACTATTTACTGTATATGTAGTGCTACATGTACTGACAGTACATACAAAACATTGTAACCTGGTACACACAGATATTTATATTTGTGCTATGTAACAAAGAAATGTGTATGAATGATATTTAGAATCATGTGGCTGGTTATTATGAGTGATTTTTAAAGTGAACAAATTTAAATTTTGCAGATGATATTATATAGACTTGCAAAATAGAGAAACCCACCTCATTAATTTGGGAATCTCATAACTTGAGGGTGGAATAACCCTTGCATCTGCATTCACTTGCATCTCAGCTTTCACTCAGTACCAACCTCTGTGGATATTCAGTCACAGTTTCTTTTCCACTTGGCTGGAAGAAGATTTTTAGTTTTTGTTAAACTAGGTAGCTTGTATATTTAGAGGAAAGGTAAATGACCCTAAAGTATGTCTGGTGCAGTTGATCCGACAAATCATGTGGCTGGTTATTATGAGTGATTTTTAAAGTGAACAAATTTAAATTTTGCAGATGATATTATATAGACTTGCAAAATAGAGAAACCCACCTCATTAATTTGGGAATCTCATAACTTGAGGGTGGAATAACCCTTGCATCTGCATTCACTTGCATCTCGGCTTTCACTCAGTACCAACCTCTGTGGATATTCAGTCACAGTTTCTTTTCCACTTGGCTGGAAGAAGATTTTTAGTTTTTGTTAAACTAGGTGGCTTGTATATTTAGAGGAAAGGTAAATGACCCTAAAGTATGTCTGGTGCAGTTGATCCGACACGACTGTGTATGTTTTCATGGCAACTTGCGCTTCTTTCAGACTGAGCTTCCACAGAGAGGAGGTCAGCATGTTTGAAAAGGCTGATTGAGTTTTCAGCTAGAAGGTGAGAGGGGGTAGTGCAAGAGCGACTCGCTCTCTCTTTACTGCTGCAGACTTTTCGTTTTGTGTGTGGCCTTGGAGGAAATGGTCAGGAAACTCACGTCACTCTGAAAGACTGAGTACATTCAGGGTGTCTCAGAGGGATTTGAGTGCGTTTGGGGTTTGACAGGGCTTGCAGGATGAAGGGAGATGGTGTTTATTCAAGATCTGGAGCTTGACTGAGAAGTGTGCCTGTTAAATGTTTGACCTAAAGATGTGGGGTTAGTGTAGCACAGTGGGTAAAGATCAAGCAAAATCATCATAGCAAAATGTTGTCTAAGATTTATTCAGACCAGAATAGACTTGTCTAGGGTTTTATTTATTTCTTTTTCCAAGCAGTGCACATCCAGTTGATTGGATTAGAATAGCTATTTGGTTGCTATTTGGCAGAAAAGCTTCTGCTGAATTAATTAATGTATGCTAAATACCTACTGATGTGACGTATTGTGTTGGATATCATTTTGATGTGTTTTTGAGAAAAGCAAGTATCACAAAAGAAACCCACAGTTGGTTTGTTTGTTTTAGTATTTTATTTAATAAAATTTATTTTATTTGTTATTTCAGAATTATTTTTAATTTTTTTATTGATTTAGTATTTTTAGTATATTGTATCTTTATTTATTTTGTGTTTTACATTTTATTTTTATTTTCATTTTTAATTTAAATGTATTTAGTATTTTATTGTATTGTGTATTTATTTATTTATTTACTTACAGTGGAATTATCTGTTGTCTGAATGTGTGCATTTCATAAATACCAGGGTTCTATGAAAATATAAATAAAACATTGCGTATGTGATTAAGGAAAGATTGATCCTCACTGATTAAATTTGATTGAATTAAAATAATGTAATTTTCTTTTTATGCTGTATTGCATACTAGCAGTGTAGAACCATCTTATTTTACCCACACTCTAAAAAACTCTGGGTTGAGACCGCTGGGCAAGGACGTTGGGTTGCTTTAACCCAATTTTGGGTTGAAAATTGGTCTTGATCTATAACCCAGAGATGCTGGGTTGGGAACGTGGACGTGAAAGAGAGCATGCATGTCACGTTAACATCGGACGACACCAGTGCGAGAAGCCGCCATTTTCTCAGCGTCTTCAGATGGAAGCCAGTGTGAGTGAAAGACGGTTTATGGTAAGTAAAGATTAAAAATGTAAAGTCATCATTCATTGTTTGAGTCCAGTAGTATTTTGAGATTTCATGGAAGGCGGAAAAGAGCTTTATATTGAACGCGGATTTCGCTTCAGAAATAGTCTTAACTCTTTTACTGAACGGAAGAGGTGCTTTTAATATAACGTCAGTGAGTGTCTTATGTCATATTTACATAAGATTTTACAATATTTTCATTTCTGTGGTGTTAAGAGAGTGTTATTAACATATTTACATGTTAATTTATCTTCTTTTTTTGCGGTTAAATTGAATGTAGTTTCCTAAAGTTAAAAGTAATGTTTTGCATTACTGGGTCAAACATATAACCCAACTTGCCAAAATAACTTTTATTTTATATATTTTATAAAATGTTTAACCCAGCAGTTTTTAGAGTGTAGAAAATCAGCAAAGTAGCATAACTACTTACATTCCTATATCGTATATGGACGGGTTAGCTTTCCTCGCGTAAGCCAAAAACATATTTTAGATCATTTGCGCCATCATTTCAACAGTGGTTCTTTGTTTGTTTATCTGTTTGTTTTTTCCCATTTGAACAGGATTAAAATCACCAAGCAAATCTGTGAAACACAACTATCTTGACCTTCTAAGGGAAGACGGGTCATGTCCGAATAGGGCCATTTTTGCCTAAGCAATGTTAAATTTGAATATCTCATGTCGACATAAGCACAGAAATGCTAAATCCTCATAAAGTTGTTGCCACTCAAGCTGGAGTCAGATTATCTTTCAAAACAGATATCCGAGCACTGGAAGTAAACAGGTTGGAGACTCAAAGCATGCGTGTTTATGAGTAGCTCTCGGCTGATTGGCTGAGCCAAAAGTGTGAAAGACCATAGGGAGGAGAATGCAGGAGTCGGGGGTGGGGTAAGGGGCGTGTCCTCCCCTCTCTCTGTTTGCCTGGTGTCCCTGCTTGATGAGATCAGCGGATCGCCTTTCATCATGAGGCAGTTCTCACTCTGCTGCTCGCACTGCCGTCTGTCCTCTTTCTCTCTCTCCTTCCCCTTCTCTCTGTTTCGGGCTGCCAAGCTGGAGTTCGGAGCCGGAGCCACGACACAGGACGAAGTAAGGAGTGCGGAGTGGGACGGAGGCTGCCACGGCTGGGATTAACCTCAGGGAGGGGGTGGGGGGGTTACATCTCTGGGGAGAAGCTTCTTTTCTCCTTCCTCATCAGGGAGACACAGAGAAAAGAGAAAGAACTAGTGTGCGCTTCTTCTCACAAAGAGGAGAGCTCCTTTCGTCCTTTATTCCAGCGTTTTTTTCCCTGAACGGGCAACAACAGGGGAGTTCTGCCGGGGAGACCATCGCAACCGGGTCGGTGTAAACGGCATGCGTTTGTGTGTGTTTGAGCGTATTGAAGAACTTGATGTGTGTCTACTTGTGTGAGGAAACTATCCTGTGATTTTTAATTTCTTCCCTTCTTGCTTTAGGCTGTTTGGGTTACCTCATGTGCACTCTTTCTTTCTAGCTCCCGCTTTCTGGCATTCCCCGTTTTCTTTTATTCCTCTAATAGAGGTTTGATCCTCTAATTGAGGTTTGATCCACCCTGGCAAGGCTACTCAGCAGGGATACAGTCTTTTCTTTGTGTTGGATGTTACAGCTGCCTGTGATGTTTCTAAACCTGGGATTTCCACACTTTAAATACTTTCTGAGCTCAAGGGGGCGGGTTCGAGACCCCGAATGCAGCGGTGGGGTCATAGGAGCGGCGCCCGGGTCCTGCTCTTGAGGATAGTGTGCTTGTGTGGGTTGGAAAGAGAAGTATTTTCAGCTGAACCCGTGGCTCTTGTTTTCTCAGCTGCTGTGAGCGATCAGATAAGGTGATTAGAGGATGGCTGGATCTTCTCCTCCCAGAGTTGTGCGTCACGGCTATCGTTTGTCTTTCTCTTTCCTCTGGTTTGGTGTCCAGAGGAAGCGTTCCCACAGTGCTGGCTGACTCTTAGTCCGGGGAGCAGATTTGAATGCTTTTCATTGTGTCCCTCGTGTTTGTGTGCACGCGCGGCTTGTGGATTTGCATGTGTCTGTTTGCACGCGTGTGGTTGTGTGTTTCCAGTGGGGGAATGTTTATGGAACAGACTGTGTGTGTTTTTGTGTTGAGGGCTGTGGGGCATCTCTTACAAAGAAGTACTGTAGTGGTGTCATGGTACAGTGGTGATATCAGATGGTAATGCGGTTGTACTTTTTTACAAATTTTACTTGTAAAACAAAAGCCATGATATTAAAAAGCCATGGTAATAATGTGGCACTTTGATAGTACTGAAAGATTTTACCTCGATGCTATCATGGTACATATCAAAGACATCATGGTAATGGTACTTTGATATATCACAGTACCAAAACATACTTGGAAAATCACCATGGTACATGAATGCCATCACTGAACCGTCACTATATTATGTACTATGTACTATATTACTATAGTCCATACCCAAAACAACATGGTAATACCATGATGTAATGTCCTGAAGTACAATAGAAATACCTTTCTTTCTGCGTTGTAAAAGTATTATTTATAAACAATTTTAAAATTCATACTATTTTGCATTAGATTTTATTTTTATATTTTCAGTTTCATTTTAGTCTTACTTTTATGCGCTTTTGTCTTTTTTATATTTCTATTCATCTTTATTTTATTTTATTTTTTTCAGTTTTAGTCATTTTAGTAATTTAACTTTTTTCAGTTGCCCAGGCAACATTTCTATTTTTGAAGTTTTTAAGAGGTTTTTTTATCTAATATTTATATTTTATAATATTTCAGCTTCATTTCATATAACAAAAACATATATATATTTTTAATTTCACTTAACAAAAATATACCAAATACCATAATATGTTCCCTAAAACATTTATTTATTTAGTTAGTTAGTTATATGCTTATTTGGATAGGGACAATACAATAAACATGAAATCCACTGCACATAGAGATTATGGCAGGCACTAATTTGCATCTCATGCAATGCATGTCCCTAGAAAGGCTTTTCTAAAAAAATCAAAACATATATAAATAAGCAAAATAATTATAATAAAATAACTATCTGTACAAAAAATACTAATGTAGCAAATCCTTCATACAAAATCCTCGCATATTACAAACAGAATACAGAACAAACACATGCCCAAGTTTTATAGACTCTTCCAATCCTAATAAATAACTAAGGAACCATATGAAAATGTAAATATGCATACAGGTCTGGTTTATTTTGAGCCAGTCAATGTAAACATGGTTATACCATGGTAATAACATGACAATACCATTTTAATAGTTATATTCCATAGTGCTTAAAGATTACCATATTCATATACATTGGTACCATGTCAAAAGAGCATGATAATACCATGCCAATTTGATATATTCCACAGTGCTGAACGATTATCATATTCACATACAATGATATTTATATGGGATTACAACTGTACATGTCCTAAAATACTGTGGTATTACCACACTTCTTATACACCAAAGTACTAAAATCTTATCATATTCTTTTTGTATGGTACATGTACAAAAACCTTGATGATTTCATGTGCCTTTTTGTGAGTGATCTCTGCATGTGTGTGTTGCGAGCAGTGTGGGACAGGGGCACAGGGTGTGTGGGGGGGGGACTAGGAGGGCAGTGGGACTGCTTTAATCACTGAGTGTGTTGTCTGAGAGCAGTGGTCTGGAAAGAGCTGACTGGAGCTGCTCTGTGGGGTGAGGCTCTTCTGGGAGAGCTTAGAGCTCAGCTGTTAGCCGTGTGACGAGCTACACAACCATTTGCCTAACCATTCAATGTCCCTCCGTTGGAGGGGGCCACTGGATTAGTGCCAGAAGCATTTGTGTGTGTGTGTGTGTGTGTGTGTGTGT